ATATACGTAAATTATCTAAAATATCCAAAATCGGTTTCCTACAAATCATAGAAAAGAGGCTGACGAATTCAAATAATTTTTTAAAATTGAAATTGGACTACTAGAAGTATGTGTATTTTTCGCCAGCTTATTAGCATTTTTCACTGTTGTGAGTGTACAAAAATATTTTCCGAGAGTGATTACGTTGACTTGTGCATGCGCGTACGTGTGCTATTGAACCGTGTGCCCGCAGCCGGGCGATATAAAATCTATTGTTATCGAGTTCGAATTTCTTCGAATTTCACACTAATAATCATTTACAACTAACACATATATTACGGGCGGCGACGACAAGATTAGAAATTGCCTAAATTGTTCCCCTTAAATAATAGTCACTAAGAGCCGCCTTAAACTATATTGCACATAAAAGAACCTTCATTTCACGTTTCTGCTGCAGTTGTATAATACGTTGACGTATTGTCCGAGTTATGGCATATTATCTGGGTTACAAAAATAACCCAATAATATCATTTCACGGATTACAGGATTGTCATCGCGTTATTTTGTTCAAACAAGTTATAGCGTCTTTTTTTATGAACTCTTTTATGTACGCATAATGACGTATACTTACTTAATATTATTTATTATTTAACGATATTATGGGCAAGTACTTACGGTAATTTGTTTCGAAGCCATAAAATGAGTTTTAAGACTTGTGTGTAAAAACAAACAATTAGGTTATAAGTATACCTATATAATGGCATCGATTTCGGCGGATAAACTATTTTGACCCCCCCCCCCACCTTAGTTTTTTACCCAGTTGCGCCACAGTCCCTAATGGCATTGCGCAGGACCTAAAGCGTTGCAGTAAATGAGAGCTGCGGTCGGAGACTATATAATATATATATTTTACGCTATAAAACAGAGTAAAAAAATTGCGCACAACAAATCACGGTGCGGATTAAGCGGGAGCCACCGGTTGACTGCGGAGATGGGTAAGTATAATGTGTACTTAAAAGCACATAAGATGTATAAAATATATTATTATAATAAACTTTTTTTCCAATCCTTGTTCGCCTGCACATTCTGCCCCCTTGCCCTCACCTAACCCGTCACGTTTTTATCGTCGCGAAATTAATATACATATACTCGAGTGTACCTCCGTCCGTGTTCTATATATATTATATATATATTATAATGCCTACACATTATATATAATAATAATAATATTACGTATGTGCAGTGTATATTGTGATATTATTTATACTATTACTTATATCGGTGTGTATAAGTAGGTATATAATATACAAGCCTATCCATATTATTTATATTTAACCCGCGAGATCGAGATGCGAGATATAAAAACGTTCAACCGTAAAACATATTATTATTATTATTATATATTTAGTTTTCAGGTGCTGCAAAGCGCGTCGCAACGGACAATATAACTATTTACAAATGGAATACTAATTACATTTTTATGGTTTGTGCGTCGTAAATAAGAAATACTACTCGAAAATATAGATTTATGTCGTTCGGGATCGCGTGGCGTAAAAAATCGCACTTTATATCGCGACGACGTCCACGACGAACGCACCGAGGCTATATAGTATATTATAATCATCGTATTATAATATATTGTCTAATATAATAATATTAAACATAAATATAATATACCTAGGTATATGTATACCTAACCTGGATAACGGGTGAGCGGTCGCGACCGCGTTTACTTGTACCGAATCCTATAAAAATAAATCAAAACTTAACTACACTACCATTTTTTTTTTTTTATGACCGATGTTTAAGGGAAAATGTGTAACTTATACTGTGGACACGTCGCACGTACTCTTTATATAATGTGCACGAGCCCGCCTGATAAGTGATAGAATATTGTACGTGTGTTATAAATTATAATGTCTAAGTATATTATATTATAATATAATAATGATAAGTAAGTAGTATAAATTATAATACCAAAGTATATTATGGTAAAAGTAATAATATTACGAACGCTGTGGCTCCGCACACGTTTATACTTTGCATGGGTACTGTAATACAGCCTATACAGGTAGGTGCGATGATAAGCGACGATAGGGCCTCCATGATATAATATAATATACGATTTACATTTGACAAATAATCATTTACAGTTTAATGTATTTTTGAAATTAATCATACGATCAATAGTATCAATAGTATACGCCATAGATAATATGATGCAAATCATATTATATTGTCGTTACATATACATTGACTACTAATCAAAAGAAACCTGCAACACTCAACTACAATTTATAAAACGATTACTGACCCTAAAGGCGTGGTAAGGTTAATATTAATAATTAACTATAATTACTATTGTTATCGATTGGGAAGTTCGTATATGGTCTGTTATATTATTTTTATTGAACTGCATATTATCAGAAAAAACTATACAAATAATATTATAATGTTTAAAATGTTTATACAATTATACGAAACATTTAATTCGAATAATTCGATGTTATTAACTTGTTATGTATTAGCTGGTAACGTCGTAATACCAAGTAGGTATTCGCATAAAAAAACAAAAATGTATTTTTAAAATGAATACACTCATATTGGAAACCACTGAAAAAAAAATAATACGTTTAATAATTCAACTCTGGAGGCAATCCGTGCTACCTTTATTTTGAGAGATAAGAGTGGAAAGCGATTTGTGGGCACCTATACACCGTGTGTACTGTGTACACGACAACAGCAGGGTAGGTATGCAGAAAAAGTTGAGTATAGTATAGCTAAATGCGCTAAACATAAGAGTTAAAAAACTGCAAGCTATATGGGAATACGTTATCGTGATCCAATAGTCTCGTGCCTAGCAAATGGAATTCAAAAATATGTATTTAGGGTGCCGAGACATATAAGTATAACCGAGTTATAGCCGATAGTGTTTTTGTGGTCACGTGGTATACACGCTGTGGGTGCGTGTCGCAGGTCTATCCGTGCACCGACGTGTGCACTTATATAATATCATCGTAAAACGGGTAAAACGTTCAATGTCACAAACAATCGCACTAAACACTGATAATAATATTAATGAATCAACGACATACTCGAATGGGCAGTGAGCTAATTATATATTATGGTCCCTTACTGCAGACATGATTGATAGTGCGGCCCGCCGTGATTGCGCAGCTCCGCGTTAAATTTTAACGAACCGACAGTCAATTTTTTTTTTTCGCAACGGCGTCGGAGTTGTAAAAATCGTGAAATTAGTAGAGTCGTTAAGTAGGTACTATAGGTGTTGGTAGGTATAGGTAGGTATGGGTAATATAGGTATCCATAATATATATACCTACCTATACCTAGTCATAAACGCGTACATATTGATATGTGGAACATAAGTCGCGCGACGACGTTGGGCCTTGCAGATCGTATCATTTATTAATATTGTTACTGTCGATTTCTCCGATTTGTCGCTAATTTTTTTTAGGAACCATTTATTTTTTTTTATAATTTCACATTGACACTTTGCGTGTGAAGCAGTCTACTTTTACTCGCGAAATTCCGAGTTCGCGAAGAAACGTGGTCCGCGAACTGTCTGCATAATAATAATAATAATATTATATTATAACATGTACATAAATATATATTGTATACAACGTGTCCACAAAAACAGGGCTCACTCTACATCTCAGTTACTTATCTTCTACTCTGCAGTGCCCTATATACCAGTGGTTCTCAACCTTTTTATATCCGCGTTCCACAATATACAGAGTTTAAACGTTTTCGTGTACCACTTGGCTTGAGAATAAATTTTTTTTTTGCTTATCAAAGATGTGTACGTTATTTAACGTATATGGAATTTTATATTATTAGAAACTCCAAAATGGTATTTTATGCGAGTAAAGGAAATAATATGTACCTACATTTACTATTTATATTATTATTATAATATCAAATTAACCAAATAATATTTAATGTGAATAATTCCATTTTTTTTTTTATAATGGAAGATTTTCTTATCGTACCACTCACGAGGTATCTGAGTACCACTATAGTCAGGGCCGGCGCTAGCAAATATTGATGGGGGGGTATAAATATACGAATTTGCCGACTACATTCATAAATATGAACCACAAGTGTTGTCTTGGTCGACTGTCTTACACGCAAATAACATGGCAAATTTTTGCGTTCAAAATAATCCATTTTATTATTTTATTAAATTAAATTATTGATCAATTTACTCTAATTTTAAAAATAATAGATACTAGAGTGAAATACATACTAAACGCAAAATTTACAATATAACGCGTGTGTAAAAGAGAGTCAATAATTGGTGTCTTAATAATTTATTGGATATTAACTAAGTTAAACAATAGAATACAAATTATAATATCATATTATATAAAAATACAACAACTTCAACATTATGAATAGGTAATTGAATAAATTAAATTTTAATCCTTCTTTCCTTTAATAGTGACCATGATTTCACTGAACTTTTTAAGTCTATACAATCCAAAATATCTTTGTTACTATAAAGTAACATTAAATGTTGGAGGCGATCTGCTCCCATAGTCGATCGTAAATAGTTTTTGACGATTTTCAGTTTACTGAAAGCGCGTTCGTTTGAAGCAGTACTTACGGGAGCTGTAAGTACTAGCCTGCATAGCTTGTTTGCAGTTGGCAAACAAGTTTTACAATCTTCAGATAATTCAAATATTTTTGTCAAGCTATCCAATTTTTTCACGTTACACTGGTGATCTAAAACTTTCAATTCGGCAATCACTCCATCATAGTCATTCATTTTAAAATCTTTGCATCCCGGTGGAAATAGTTCGATTACTTTTTTTACATTTTCTGTTGAACAAATTTGTTTCCATGGCATTTTAAACAAAGTAATCATTGGTTCAAATGTCACCAATGATTTTTTTAGATGTTCATTCAATAAAACAATCAAAGTATTTAGAACTTTTTTAAATTCTACTCGATAAAAAGTAGGTAAATCAATCGAACACTGTGTGTTTGGATTTTGGTCAATTCTTTTTGGCAAAAGTCTTTTCCGATTCTGTCACTTGCTTTAGCCTAGCCGCAGCTATAAATGGATTTTCTGGGGCTCCAACATGCTTCACTAAAACTCTTTTACCCTCATGTTGTTTAGTTTCATGTTTTTTTCTATAATCATCATCAAATATACTTCCACATGCCAAACATTCTAATTTCGTTCGTTTTCTTTTTTTCGTATTTGTGCAATTCATAATGAACAAATTAATAAAACACAAACGAATAAATAAACTGTCTTAAGTTAACTCGGTATAACACTCTCACAGTCGTCACAGAAGTACAGAATAGCAATAGGCAATTGTCGACAATCTTTATTATTTACTATCAGTTATAATATATTGTAGCAGTGAAGTACGATCGTCGATCACAACAATAATCATTAAATCAAATCAAATATCTAAGACTAAGATAACGACGTATATTCCGACTACGGCTATAAATACATTCATTGCCCTTAGATTCGGGAATTGTAGCCGTAGCCGTTCACGAAAAATGTTTTTCTAATACCAACTAGCGGCTAGCGCAATCTAGTTCTATAGTTCAAATTTTTGCCGACTATTTAATTTTATTTAGCGTATGCCGACTATATAAATGGGTTATTCGTTGGTGGGGGGGTATTGCACCCCCCACACCCCCCCCCTAACGCCGGGCCTGACTATAGTGGTATGCAGGTTGATAAACGCTGCCCTATACATAATTTTAAATTGTGTTTGCGGGACACGAGCCTATACCTTATGACTATTTCAGGATTATAAGCTCCTACAAGACTTACAATCGTTTAACTCTTGTATTTTGCGCATGCGCGACAACTTCAATTTTTCTGTGTATAATACATTATGTATTATCATCTAACTCGGTCATCGTTTACCCATTACACTATTTAGGTACTTCCGTCATACCATTGATCAAACGATACACCTGCAGTATGACAGTATATAATATATTAATTCTATAAAGTCATATACTCATAAGCGAGTTATTGTAGTTTACAATATTAGTAGCTGGTATAATAGACATAACTACCTAATATAATATGTTAAGTAAACGAGTTCTCGTTAAAAACACGTTTATATTATAGGTAATTAGCCAAATGTAATGTTTTTTCCCCCGACAGTTCTATTGTGCACTGCTTTAGAGCTATAACCTAAGACCGTGCTATAGAGTCTATAGTATAGACTATGATATTATATGTAGCTTATAATCGGCGTATTAATTATTGTTTTCTTTTAAATAATTATTATTTCGGACGATTATTCGTTTTAATAATCTATGGTCGCACGCGACCCAAGGTCTTCGGACGCAGTGACGAAGATTCGCACCAATCGTGTACCGACAATAATTATAAAATATGAATGAAGAGTATTATCATTATATACAGGGTGCTTTCGTAAGCATAATCACCCAATGTTTATGATTAAATAGGCATAAAATATCCATATTCTGATTTTTGGAATTTCTAAATATAATCGAAACCAAATTTTCGATTAATCGAGATTTTTTCATAACATTTAAGTATGATCTTGTAACAATACAAACTTATATTGTAATGGACTAAGTAGAATGTAGATATAGACCATATGGGCTTAGATCATCTGATTTAAAAATGTTTGTACTTTGTAGTTATTGTATTGATCCATCATTATAATAAATAATTTGTAAAAACTATCCAAATATATAATAAAGTATACTACATCTGATATTACATAATAATATAGTTTATAATATTTTTTTAAAACAGTTTTCAAGGACTATTATCCTTAGCATAAACATTTTAATAACTCAGAAACTACGGTATTTCGATTTAGATACATCGAAATTTTCGAAAATATCGTCCTCCAAATAATTTGCAGTAAAAAATTGAGGTTCTCATTCGACAGACAGGAGTTTGTATCGGCACAGGACACACTCCTTAAATAGTACAAAAAATATCAGGAATTTGAAAATATGATGGTGCTTGAAAATTCCGAAATTCAATATTTGAATAAATGTACAATTGAAGCAGCATAAAATGGAGGTCAGCGTGCATAAAAAAATCAAATAAAATCACCTTGTACACAGGTAATGTACATTGCACACATAAACAGTTTAGTACTTACATAATTGGTGTATTAAAGAGTAATATTTATACGAAATTATAGGTAGGTACTGCAGTGTGTCTATGTCGCTATAAAATGTGAGCTCGGTCACGCGGGCAGACCCGAAAATAATAATTACTATTCATTCCGGAACCGGTATTTTTTTATTATTATTATTATTATTTTTTTTTTTTTATTGGGATTTAAATGTTACTCGTTATAATTATCATTATTGTTATTGCCCATATATAGTTAATGAAATGTACAAATCTCGCCGTTTATTATACACATAATATAGGTAGGTATATATATATATTATGTATATAGCTGGTATACAATGTGTAGAATGTATACCGGGTGATTCTTTTATCAAACAACACTCATTATTTCAAAAAGTGTAAATATTTTTGAAGATATTTTTTTACATAGTTTCAAGTCGCTTATAAAACAACGTTTTTATTAAAAAATTATATTTTTAATTATTTTTTATCCTTATAATTTTTTAAGTTTTTTACTTTTTTGAATGACAACATAGGGTTTTAATTTTATATTCTAAAGTAGAATATTTTTCTTAGTATTTTGATACATGAAAATTGAATTTGGGGCGAGTAGTTTATGAGTTATAAGTAATTAAAGTTTAGACGAGCGGTGAAGTGGACAAACATTTCGCGGGGTAACCCCGAACCACTCCACTCCGCTCGTCTAAACTTTAAATACTTATAACTCATAAACTACTCAACCCAAATTCGATTTTCATGTATCAAAATACTAAGATAAATATTCTGCTTTGGAATATAAATTTAAAACCCTATGTTGTTATTCAAAAAAGTAAAAAACTTAAAAAATTATAAGGATAAAAAATATTTAAAAATATAATTTTTTAATAAAAACGTTGTTTTATAAGCGACTTGAAACTATGTAAAAAAATATTTTCAAAAAAATTTACACTTTTTGAAATAATGAGTGTTGTTTGATAAAAGAATCACCCAGTATATGTTTATAGGTATATATTACATTATGCCTATACACATTTCAAACAATAATACCTACAATGTATGACTATGACAACGTGAATTAATTATTTCAATATACTTTGTGATATTGTGGGCATAAGTAGTCTGGAGGTATTTCGCGAAGTGCATCAATTTAACATATTCTGCGCCGTTTAGCGACAAATAGAATTTTAATAATATGCACACGACTATATAATATTCGTCTCGGGTTGAGAATTATATGCTTATACCTTTTCCATGGCGGCCAACGATTGTTATTGAATTAATGTGCATAGTATATAGGTACCCACGTCCGGTATTGATTTGAAAAAATGACCAATTATTTTACTCGACCTTACACTATATTATTAATATAATAGTGAATAGCGAACGATTCATCGAACGATTGAAATTCTATATTATGTTATTTGATCACGGACGTGGTACGCTGGCACCGTAAGCCTAAAATAAATTGCAACGGAATGCAATGTTTCAAATTTAAATAACTACGAAAAAAGCAAGTCATTTGCAGAATAGCGATAGATACATAATATAGGTACCTATATAAGTTTATGGATGACGAATGATATATATTTTGTCAAAACAACAGTGTGTTGTAAGTTCTTACCCTCGGATGTAGAAGTCAATAGAAGTAAGCGGCATCAGGTACCTACCTGTAATCGAAAATATAAAAGTTATTAAAAGCCAAAACCGTTTAAAAAGTCCAAACTCGAAACCGATGTCCAAGAACAATTTAATCACCCGCCTCGAAGTCGAAAAAAAATGTACAACAGTTGTACATCTAAATATATTTAAGTGATTTTAATATAATATAGTAGATAGGTAGGTGGATTAAAATAAGGAATCGATATTATTCGGCGTTTATAAATTAGCCGGAGAGAAGAAATAATGGACAGGTAACCGGTAACTCGTACTGATCAGAAAAATAATATTTATATAATCACCAAAAATTTAAGTACGGAACGTTTGAACGAAGGTTACGACCATATTATATCTACTGTAAGACTATATAATATAGCTGTGTTCCGAATTTAAAAAAGCAAATTAATATCGTTCTATTGTATACGCTTTCCATACGATGAATAATTATTAATAACAAACATCAGCATTGGGACGGTGAAAAATAATTTTTATTGTCAATATTTAAAGATATTTGCGATTTGTATTCCGTATAGATCAACAGTCACACCTCACACTCGACAGTTGTTTTTACGAGTCTTTTCCTGTCTTATACAAAGTAAACTATAATTTATAACACTAATGTATAAGGTAATACTAATAGAAAAAAACAAAATCGGGTAAGTGGATGTCGCTCTGCTGTACAGTAGGTTACAATTGGGTCAATGTATAAAGGATTGTATTACATTTGAATTCAGTGATAAACCTAAAACCATTCCATAAGAAAAACGATTCTGAGCGGAGACGGTTTGCCAGTCAGGACATTGTTATTATTTATTATAATATCCTGTAAGTTGAATTTATATTATAATAGGTATTATTATTTTTTATTCGTTTCAATGGGGATATACAAAGCGTTAGAAATTAAAATACCGTTTTTAGCGGTTTTTCGTAATTTGTCGGTGGTTTTTCCCGTGGCATTATACAACTATTGAGAAAAATGACCTCTCGAAAGTACCATCTTGATCCAATTTTCTAAAAGATAAGGTACTATATGTTGAAATCGAAGCACTCCTTCTGGTAGATATTTTGTATACAAGATATAAAAAATAAATAAAAAATAAATAAACAACATTGTAAAACCAATAGGTTCCTCGCTCCACTCAGAATCTAAAAGTTATGATAGGAAAATTACGGTATAATATGCAATATTAAGTTTAGTATTCATAAAAAAATCCTAAAACTAAGTTGCTTTGACTACACAATAATTTGCGGCCGTTTTAGAAAACAAAAAAAAAGGCGTCGAGTATAAGATGTATATTAGTGTAAATGGTGTCTCTAAAAGAACTCCGAATTTCAAACTACTACAAATCAAATTTGATTCAGTAAAAAAAAACAAAAAAATCAAACCATCTTCTCTTCTAGAAGGGTTTAAGTTCAAATTTGAAAAATAATATCGGGCATTTCAACCCCTTCCCCTCTAATAGC